CTATTAATATCATTTTGTTTTTTAAACCTTGTTTCAATCATGATAAGAGAAAAGACTAAATGTGTGCGAAAAAGAAAGCTTTTGCATATTCATGGAGCTAAAGAATATCGGTGGTCATCGAGTGGCAGAGTTTGCTCCCGCCATAAACAGGAAGAATGCTTCTGCCAATGAAAGATCTTTCACTTCCAGCATTATCATCAAATGGACATTAAATTTTCCATCAACAATTTTGTAGGGATAGTCTAGGATTACCTAATTCCAACAGGTGTTTGACCAACATTGAAGAGATTGTATTGTTGATGAAAATGTCTCGTAGAATCCAAGTAAGTTAGTCCCATAATTATATTGTTTAATTGGACCTCGTGTTGTTTATCAGTAAATGGCTCTTATAACTCATTCTTGTTAGTTTGTCATGTTCAAAGTTTGTGCTTTAAAAATAGAAACTGTAAAAATTAGAGAATGTCATTGTATTTATAATTATCTATGTAACTAATATGTCAGCTGACATATCATTTGTTTGTTACTGGTTGAGTTATATTAATTACCTTAATGTAATAGCTTGGTCTGTGGAAAATTTGACGGTATTGTGTCTGTATTTAATCAGGTTTAGTCTAATTTCCTTTAGCTCATTTTATTTAGGTGTAGGGTTTGTCTTGATTTTTAATGATTATTTATAATTGAAGTGTTTGGAACTATATTTCTATTTGTATTTAAACTGATGGAAGGATTTTTATCTAGCTTCTTCCAAGCTTTGTATGTTCTTAAATAGAGCAGCTTCACTTTCAAGTTAATAAAGTTTTTTTTTGGTTTAATAGTGATGTTATAGCAGTAAGAGGTGCTCCTGGTAGTTTCTTCTATGCATTGTAATAAGAGCATTTGCAAGCCATATTTGACATCACACTCCTCACAAGCACTAAGCATACATGCAATCCACTCTCTGAGTAAGCCAAACTGACCATACCCAGAAATGAGAGCAATCCAAGAAACATCATTTAGTGTGGATCTTCGAGAATGCCTCTTGAGGGATCATCCATTTAGGTCGAAGATAGGGAGGAAGAAAGTGAATATCATCCAAGAGATGTTCATCATGGTTGAGTCGTACATTCTCTTAAAGGAAAAACTGAGCATGCATTTCGATGATCTCGCGTCAACCGAAACCACTCAAGTCACCTGGCATAGAAGAAGTCACATCGGCGCCGAGATAAACCCAACTGAGGTATGCATGGATGATATGATAAATACACCCTCTAATAGTCTCTCGAGAAAATATTTACCAAGCTAACACCGACATCAAATTTCAGAAGGCGGAAGTCTGGCTTCTTTATCCTGTAAGGAAAATATCTCACACCGATAAATTGAAACATTTTCGCTTCCATATGATTCACGGCCACAACACTAACGATTGTATCCAGCTGAAAAATATCATTTAAGGGTTGATTAAGAAGGGTTGGTTGATCGAGTATGTCAATGGGGTAAAAGAGATAAGGAGAAATTACCTAAAGGTAAATCCTCCTTAAATACGGAAAATGTCAAGATTAGCGGCGAAAGCAGGGATGCAAGTAAAGGAAAATGCCCATACATTTCCTCCATCACTGGAGGCACGCATTGGGAAAATATCCCATCCAAATGGACCATGAAGAGGATACAAACATGTTGGCAAAAGTTATATATCGACCCATGTTGGGGTTATGAGACTCGAAGAAAGTTAAAGGTGTCCCCAACAAAAAAAATCCACTAGTAATCACTACCACACTAAGGCAGTTCAATGTCTCTCAGATCCTTGTCGATGGTTACAGCTTCTGCGACAATATGTACTCGAAGTTGTCTGAGAAGATGGGCCTCGACAAGGGCAACTTATATTCATATGAAGGTTCTAACTTCTAGTCGTTCAATGGGACGATCACCTATCCATAGAGATATGTGGAGTTAATGATCTCCATAGGCGAGGGGAATGACATATGGCCAGTAAAATCAAAATTCCTTGTTGTCCTCTGCAAGAGCGTCTACAATTGTATTCTATGAAAACACACAAAGTGATGCAAACCTCAAAATAAGACTCACACAAAGATGACTGAAAATAACTATGACAACATAAACAAAAGGTTCGAAAACAGATAAAAACAATGCAAAACAACGATAAACACAGTTTGAAAAACACAACTAAAACCCACTGATTAAAGACCTTCTAGAATCACGTTAGACGTTGTAGCCTCGCTGGTGCATCTAAAGATGAAGTATCATAATCTCCATGGAGAATTGGCCACCATCACTATCGACCTAGAGGGGGACCAAACTCTCCAAAAAGATAAAGGAGAAGGTGTGGCTATGAAGATCAATGCAGTTTCTCTCACAGTATAACTCAACAACATGGGTATTCGTCCTCCAAAAAGTGGCTAAACCCATAAAGGCTATCATAAGGAATAAGTGGCAGCTATACCACATGGTTATGTTTTCTTTGCCTTACTTATATTAACTATTGTGATTGTATAACCATCATCTTATGTACAAAGATGTTTTATGATTTTAAATGAAACATGGAATTTTCTAAAATATTTGTTTCTATTTGTGCATATTGGCAACGAGTCTAGGGTACGAACAACAAGCTTGAGGCTCAGTACACTAAAATCCAGGGGTGTTGTCGGAGATGCTTTGTACGTCCGACTACATCAATCAATTCTCTGTCTAAAGTCAGGGGTGCTACCGAAGACGTTTTGTACATCTTGTTACAATAATCAATTCCCTTCATAAAGTCAGGGGTTCTACTAGAGACGATTTGTACATTTGTCTATAACATTCAATTCCCCATCTTAAGTTAGAGGTGCTGCCAGAGATGCTTTGTATGTCCACCTACAACAGTCAAGTCCCCACATACAATAAAAGTTCACCCCTCTCTAGAAGCTAGCCATTCCATATGTCATAGTTGGTGTAACATCCCATTTGAATTATTTAATTATATAAAATAATTTTATTGTATTGTATGTGTTTTGAATGGTTGAGGTAATATGGAAGCCTTAGGTATGGGGTAGTATCCCTAGAATATTAGAATTTTAAGTGAAGGGCACGATAGTAATTAATGAAAAGTAGAGAGTGTTATATACAATGGGATTAATAGTATTACTATTAGATTTAATTAAATAATTTATTAGTAATAAATAAGATAATATTTATTTAAAATAACAATAATAATATAGAGATAGTATTGCTTTTATTATTATTTTATTAGATAATTGGTTAATAATATGATATATATATATATATATATATATATATATATATATATATATATATATATATATATATATATATATATATATATATATATATATATATATATATATATATAATTTAAAATAAGATCATTAGGAATGCAGAACAAGCCATACATTTTTTTTCTCCTAGCTTTTTTTCTTTTCTATTTCATCACTCATTGCCAAGAATGTCTAAATAAAGAAATGAGTTTCAAATTCTTCATAATCAGTCCTAAAGCCCCATAAAGATTTATGAATCGACTCTAGACTTATACACTAAATTTGAAAGTCAAATCAAAGACACAACAATTAGTTATTAAAATTTATTGTTACTGTTATAAATATCTAGCTTCTACATTTTAGTTTTGTGCCCCAAACTAATATATGTAGTGTAATAGTACACGAGCTATTTTGAGTCCCAATGGAGCCATATGATTAGAAAGAGTAATTTGGTTGAGAAAAACAAATTTTGGACACAAAGTGCTCCTAAAACTAAAACGATGACATGGCATAAAAAGATAAAAAGACAAAAATGTATTTTCAACTAACATCTAATTTTTTATATATCATAGATAAAATTAACCTTTTTTTTTAGCATAAACACAACTAATAGGGTTGTCAAGTCAATTTTTTTTTGAGAAATAGCACAAAATTAGGGGTGTTTGCGGGCCGGTTTGAATTGAATTTAAGAAAATTTAATATCCGAACTGATAAAAAATATATGAATTGGTCTGGATTGGATTTTCACTTTTTTTTTCTTCATAAAATTAAATCCAAACCAAACCAAAAAATAACGGGTTGGTTTGGATTGGATTGATGGGATACATTAGAAATAAATATGTAAAAATACTTTTAAAATATATCTAATTTACATCAACTAATTTTTCATATTAATATTAATTTTTTAATTTTTTTCTTCATATAAGTTGTGAATGTCAAAAATGACATTTCATTTTTTTACTTCTTGAAGTTTAATATCTTATACTACGTGATAATGATGATATAAATTATAAGAATTAATATGGTTGGTTCGGGTGGGCTTGCAGGTAGAATTTTGAAAATTCGTTGTCTGAATAATTAACCTCAAATTTTATTGAATTGGTTCCGAATTAAAAAAATCCAACCCAAACACCTTAGTTTAATTTAGATTCCGGTTTAGTTCAGATTTACTTGAATCAATAAACATCCTAAAATCTCGCGATATAGAAATAGGACAAAAACTCAATAGAAATTCATCTTGCGATATAGAAATAAGACAAAAACTCAATAGAAATTTATTGAATGAATAAATCCCAGTGTTTTCTTATTTATTTTTAAATCTAAGATTAATAACCTTTCAAAACCTTAGTCAAACTTTCCTAAATAAATTTTGAAATTAGAAAATAATAATGGTTGATCCAAGAACCTCCTGTATTAATGTTGGGCAGTGAATGTTAGCCTTGGAATGAGAGTCAGAGTGATATCCCAAAAAACTAGGAGATCATTACATCGTCCGTCCAATTAGATTTTTTTTCTTCATTCTTTTTAGAAACCCTAAAATCTGTTCGGGTCAAGGGTTCACCAAAATACCCGTTTTAAACACTAAATAAATATAAAAACTAAACAAACAAATATTCCTTCATCCTCTCCCTCACCACGATCTCTGTTTCTGCGATTGCGATTTCCACTTCTTCGCCACTGAAGAGTGTGTTCTATACTATTCTTACATTCCTCTGTTTCACTTCAATCACTTCATCCTCTGTTCTTCTCTTAATGGCTTCAACCAATGGTTCCCCTCCACAAATTTCACATACTTCTCCACAAGGTAATGTCAATGCGTTGAAATTCCTTCATATTTACGATTAATTATCCATTTAGCTTTTTCGATTTTTCATTATTTATCAACTTCTGAGTTTTGGTTATCAACTTAGTCGAATTTTGTGATTTAGGCGTTATTTTTTTCATCTATCATAATTTGAATGCATATCTGTGTATATAACTTTAACAATACTCTCGCGGCGACTCTTAAGCTTTGCGAATTTGATCATGCCTGCTTGCTGAATCGATAGTCACGATCGAGGCATTACGTATTGCTGAAGAATGTTGCTTCAATACCGTGGAAATGGAATCAGGTTGCCTGAAACGTGTAGCTTTGGTGAATCAAAGGGATAACAGAATGAAGGAGTCGTGCAACTACGTTGGGAGCACTGTCCCTAGCATTAGAAATTCTAGGTTTTGGTTTGAAAAGATATGTAGACGCATGGCTTTGTTGGGAGCTCAGTGTGTAACATTAGGTCTAGGCATTTCATCAAACACTTTGAGTTCCTTTCCTTTCAGTTTCATTGTGTATTTCTTGTTAAGTTTCATGTTCATCCTTCTTTTTCACCCTTATGTTGCTCATTCCCTCCGATGTGGCCATACGTGGCCATACGAATTGATTCATCCCTTTCTTGTTGTCAATCATATGATTGTTGCAACCTATATCAAGGTATCACATATTTGCTTTCTTTGAAGCCAAATGTGTTGCAGCCATAAGGATAACATCTTCAAATTCATTGCTATCATCATGAGCAAATTGAGCCACACCCTTGCCTTCATCATTGTTCTCGTTGTAGTAGCAGTCTCGAGCATAATGACCAAACTTCTGACAAGAATAGCATTGAACCTCCTTCATGTCAACCTGACTTTCTGATTTTGATTTGCATCATTCTTGCTAGTTTCACCTTGGCTTCTTGAAGCTTTACCAGCATCACCATTGTCATTCAACTTTTTCTTCCATTTTTCTTTCACTTTGTTATTGCTTGAGGAATTTTCTTTAATCTTCTTGAAGAGTTTTGATTGTAATGCCTGTTCAGATACCTTTTATGAATCTCTTTGCTTTAGCCTTATCTCATGCACCACAAGAGATGCTTGCAATTCTTCGAGTTTTGTTTTTGACAATTCTTTAGATTCTTCAATTGCCACCACAATGTGATCAAACTTGACTAGAAGAGCCCTCAACACCTTCTCCTCCTTCTATAATTCAGAGGCTTTTTCTCCACATGACTTCATCTGATTTGTCAAAGTCACCATCTTTAAGAAGAACTCAGCAATGGTTTCATCATCCTTCATCTTCAAGTTTTCATATTGCTTCCTTAAAGATTGTAGCTTTACTTTCTTTAACTTCTCATCTCCACCATATAGATTCTTGAGAGTATCCCAAGCCTGCTTGGCCGTTTCTTGCTCGATATTCTTCTCAAAGATATTTGATTCCACACATTGATGGATCAAAACCAAACCTTTCCCATCTTTCTTGCTCAATTCACGATGAGCATCCCTTTGTGCCTCAGTACCATTTGTCTCTAATGCCGAGAAACAATTGGGTAGAAAAATGATTTATGAATCATTGAAAGGAATGTGACTTAGCCAATTTGAATACAGTAAATAATGGTAACCCAACCTTTGTGATTGGAGATCCCATGAAGAAGGTTCATATGGGTAATAACAAGTTATTTACTGAACTGACAGCACTACTGTCCCTTCCTACTATGGATTGCTGAGCTGCATTAATAGAGGATAAGTTTAAGAGCTTTTAATGATTTCCATAGCCCTTATGGGTTGTATATGAAGTGCAACATATACTTGATGAAATCACCTATATGAGTGTTAAGTGGAACTGCTTGCATGAGATTTGGCAAATCTCTAGAGCACTCATGAACACCAGGCACGTGCATGGCTAAATTGGCACACAACAACAATGGCAGCGAGAAGTTGTGGGGGTGTAATGATTGGTAAGGCCCCTAGCACACACTAAAGTCTACTGGTTCATAGAGCATGCTCCACCAATTCACTTGTGTGTTAAGTCTTGATAATCTAGGCTCTGGTCCGTAGCCCAAAAGGCACCAGACTCAAAAAGTTACATTCTCGGAAAGTGTCCAGAAAATTTCTTCCCTTCTTAAATCCTTTCTTTGGACTTTTTAAATATGTGGGGGATTGTTGAAAAATTAGTGTATTTCAAAGTCCAACTTCCACCAGTGAAAGTTTAGTGCGAAATTAGACCAAAACACAATGGTAGCTATTTTAAGAGCAACTTCCACCAATGGAAGTTTAGTGCAAAACGTGACCCAAAATTTTACATGTGTCAAATTGTTGCACCGTCCACTTTGACTACATCAGTATGGTTTGCTGTGCTGTTGCCCAAGTTATTAAACTTTGCCGCCCATCATTTATTTTCTTCCTCTACCTATTGATTCATTAATTTTGTCCTATAAATAATTAGCTTATTTCTCATGAAGATATACACAAAACACACCAGAAAATTATCTTCTTCTCCTTCCTTTGTTTCTGAGCAATATATATTTGAGATTCTCGTTAGTTCTTGAATTCCTGGTTAATGCAATCAGAAGGTGTTGTTTAATCCTAGAGAGTGTTTAGGATAATATCTGAATAAAACTCTCAAAGACAGTGATATAATTTACGACTAAGCGCGGTTACTTTCTCTATTTTGCTTTGTGGCTTCGTTGCTGTTGAATTTGTTACTGTTTTTGCTCTCTATATATACAGCACAAATGAGGATGGACAACTTTATATACCTGCCTCTTAACATACACCAGTAGGTTTATCTTGTATTCACAGTGGACAGCTGTCATGTAAGAAACTGGAGCAGTCACACTGAGCTTGGAATGATGAATCAGAAGCTTGGAGGTGGAAAGCCTCAGTGCTTTCATTGGTGGAATAACCTTAACCACCTTCGATTCAGAGTCCTTATGCTTCATTATTGGTGCTTTGGTTCGCTGCCACTTATTGTTTCAATCTCTGACGCGTGTAAGCTACACCTCACCGTATTAGGAGCCTTCTGTGTATTAGCCGCCATAGACTAGGTTTCTAGCCACCCATTGTTCAGTTTCAAAGGTTATTATGAGCATATCTGAACCTAGTTCCTTCCATGTGAGGTAAAGGGAGCATCTCTGAACTTAGTGGTCTCAAGGGATTTGTGAGTTGTTATGGATAGAAGTCATACCTCATGACCTCAATTAAATATAAAGCAAATTTGTGACCAATAATCAACCATTAACATTAAACACAACCTGGTTGAGCGCGTGCCGATGAAACATACCGATAAAACGACCCTTCACCAAGGGGAATCTAGAAAAAATATTTTATAGGTACAGATGTACAACATACATCCCTTCAGGGCTTCATTTGTCACCGAGGGAATTCCTATAGAACACTTTCAAGACATTGCAGGTTGAGAATGATAACTATCAATATTCATTCACCAATTCGAGGGAGATTATTGTATTTTAGGAAAATATGTTTTATAGATTTTATTTTCTCTAGTGCGTGCAGATTTTATTTCGTCTTTGCTTAATTTTAGGGTAGCCATTAATAGATTTTACGGGCTTAGTTTATACTACATTTGATAATCAGAATATAATATTCAATTTTCTCCATGTTTCAAGTTCATGGACAATATAATATCAGTTTACTTGGAATGTTTTTTTTAACCTTTGAGTTTGGTGTTGTGTGATTAAAGTTATCCCGGTTATTCTTACTTTACTGACTATGCCCTTTATAATATCAGGGACTACTGTCGGTGCCGATGGGGATTATGCTGATCAACAACCTGACGTATCCTACACCAGTTATTTTCAACAACCAGGCCTTCATAAATCAGAAGCCATGCCTTATCGTTCTTCGGTGTCACCTTCTGTTGGCATGCAATATAAACCTGTCAGTGGTTCTGTATTTGCAAAAAATTATCCAAAATCTTCTACCTTAGAGAATCAAAACAGCTCACAGTATGCACATAGAACTGGCAGTTTAACCAGCAGGTTACCCAAGATTTTGACTAAGACCATAAAAGAAATGGAAATTCAAAAAAAGGTAATCAGCTGTAGATTATGATGGGTCAGATATTTTAAGATCTTAGTGGGTATCACTGCTTGTTGTTTATATATATATTCATTTTGTGGAGTGGTAGAATTGTTGTATTTATGATGGACCTAGAAAAGGTGTTATTCTCTTTGTTTTGTCAATACCAGCTTCACTCATGTGGATAATTCTTGAGGAAAAATCTCTCTTGGATCTTGTTTGCCAATTGCCACCTCTAGAATCACTTGTTTTTCTTTTAATGGATAATAATGTACACGAACTTTGTGTTATGTATTTTATATTTTCATTGTAACTTCTGTAGAGTTATGGTGTTTTGATCGAGTGAATGTTTTATTTTGCAGGCTCCTCATTTGCATTCTAATTTTACAGCCGCCGCACCTCCAAGGACCTACAACCAAACAAGAAATGTTTCATCATGTGCCAACCCAAGAAGCCATGTCTTCCCGCATACTAACTACAGACCAAGTGTCTCTAGTAATTACAGACCAAATTCCTCTACCAACTACAGACCGAATTCTTCTACCAACTACAGACCAAATTCCTCTACCAACTACAGACCGAATTCCTCTACCAACTACAGACCGAATTCTTCTACCAACTACAGACCGAATTCTTCTACCAACTACAGACCAACTGGTGGAGTGTCTAATGTAAATGATAGATTTTTGTTGAGTGAGGAATTCAGAAGTGGAGTATCTGAAATGTCAAAGGAAATGACTCGGGGTCCTCGGTTTCATCAAAAAAGTTCTCACCCACGTTCATCTGTTGTTAAGGATGAGTTTGCAATCACAATATGCAGAGATCGATATAATCTTCCAGATTTCCAAACTAAATATGAAAATGCTAAGTTTTATATGATTAAATCTTTCAATGAAGATGACATTCATAAGGGTATTAAACATGATGTTTGGACTAGCACTCCACACGGGAATAAGAAGTTGAACGCTGCATTCCAAAATGCGGAAGCTAAATTAAGTGAAACAGGCACGCATTGCCCAGTCTTCCTCTTCTTTTCGGTGAGTTAAAATCTCGTCCCAAAGTTTCTCTTGTTTTACATTTAAGAACTAGGGGTTCATGTCTTCCAATATTTTCCTAATTATTCAGTTGTCCTGAATGTATTTTGTTGCCTAATCAGGTTAATGCAAGTGGGCAGTTTGTCGGAGTAGCTGAGATGCTTGGGCCAGTGGACTTCAAAAAAGATATGAAGTTTTGGAAACTTGACAAATACAACGGGTTCTTCCCGATTAAGTGGCATATAATAAAAGATGTTCCAAATCGCCAGTTTGTGCACATCATCCTTCAAAACAACGAGAACAAGTGTGTAACTTTCAGTAGGGACACACAAGAGGTAATTCTTGCTTTCAATGGTGTTAACATAATTCTTCTGTCATAGAGTCTGAGAGAAATCGATGTTGCATAACCCAAGAGAAAGTTTGTGTAGAAGTTGCGCCTTTCTGTTGGATATGATTTTATCATTAAACCCGTAATTGTGTTTGCAGATTGGACTGAAAGAGGGTCTGGAAATGCTGAAAATATTTAAAAGTTATCAAGCTAAGACTTGTCTATTGGATGATTTTGACTTCTATGAAAATCGAGAGAAGTTAATACGTTCTGATAAGATTACTGAGCATACAGGCCAAAAACAGGAAGTGTACAACAATGACAGTTACTATGTAAGTTGTATTTCCATTGTCTAGAACACCTGTTAAATATACACGCAATTGCCGCATAGAATATGTGATTTACTGCAAGTACACACAATTCTATTTCCTTGCATGCTGTAATTTTGATTTATATTGTGCAGAACACTATGAAGGCAAGAGAGGAGAGAATAGAGATGCATTCAAGTGGTAGCAATCAAGAAAGTCTGGTCAAACTAACAAAGAATCTCTCTCTCAATCCCTCTGTAAGACAAGGCTTTAGATAACTCAGATTGACCAATTACCAAGAAAATACCAAAAAAAAAAAGGATAGACAGATTTTTTTAAAAGTTTATCTTATATTTTAGAGAATTATGATAAGTATGGCTCTTATCTAATTATGATAATTATTATACATAAGATCAACTGGAGACAATTGCATTTCAATAAAGTTCACATCACTTTTACAAGAGATTTGTTTGTCTCTGTATTTGAATGTATTTCTTGCCAACATTATTGATAGAAATTCAAATAATTGCATGCTTAAAACTTCATTAATTCATTTTAAAATTGTAAAAATGAAATCCTTACTAGAGTAGTATTTATAGGAAAGAAACTGTTGTATACTTAAAAAATCTTTAAGACATTAATATAGGTCCCATAAAAAGACTTACACCATTTAATTAAAATAAAATCAAAGTTAGTCATATAATTTAAATTAAACACAAAATTATTCTAATATTCACATAATTTCTTTATTAATTTTTGACAATTTAAAGGTAGTACAATGTCATTGTAATAGTTTTACACATGCAACTAATCAAAATGTCTATAATTGCTATATAAGATCAGTATTTTTAAAATAAAAATATGTTTTATTCTGATATATATATTTTTTATTCTGATATATAGTTGTGATTGATTGAAAATGTAAAATATTTTACACTAGTACGTTACTTTTTTCTTATAAACTTATTTCATTTTATACATCAAATAATCACTTTCTTTTTTCTATTTGTAATTAGTCTCTCTTCATTCTCTATTTCCCTTTTCATTATCCTTTATGGATTCTTTCAAATAGAGAAAATTTTCTTAGAGAGGTGTCAATCATTAATTATTATATTGTAAGAGTCTAGTCCTTTAGTACATTTTCCTTTATATATGACTCGACATCTAATATTTTTGAATCATTTTCATTGGGGATTGATCAAAATGTAAATGTATAGTAACACAAAATGAGGACACATAATACAAAGTGCTAACATGAGCACAAATATATTTAGAAGGTTTGTGAGCACAAAAAGAAATGAAGAATACCATTATGAATGGTTTCATTACATACAAGGCAAATTATGCTAAACATATCACACATTTTAAGAATATATGCCTGTGGTTCTAAAAATGAAGTTGGGCTTGTTTTCGACTTTTATAAACCGGTTCCATATGTTGGCTGCCATTGGGCAATCCCTCAAAACGTGGAGCAAATTCTCTTCCCAATGTCCACAAATCAAGGAATTGGTCAGAAGTAGTTGATAAATTACACTCTGCCTTTTTTCATAACCTGAAGCTTCCACTTAGTGAATTTTTCACTGTCCTACCATAATATTGGGACAAAATTTCCATAATACCACTGTTTTTCACATATATCCCAAATTACCATCTTTTCAAAAAAATTGAATTTTTGTTTGAAAACGACCGTCCTATCAATGGGCGGCAATGAGCAATTTTTAAAAGCATTCGCCCTTCCAATGGGCGGCTATGACCATTTCCCTTTTTTTTTTCGTTTTATTTTTTTAAATATAATTAATATATATATATATATATATATATATATATATATTAAAATTAATATTTATTAATATATATAATATTATTAATATATATATTAATAATAATATTATTATTATTAATATTATTATTATTTAATAATATTAATATTATGAATAATGTAAAAGTTAATATTATATATATATATATATATATATATATATATATATATATATATATATATTATTAATAATATTATTAATATTATTATTATTTAATAATATTAATATTATCAATAATGTAAATATTAATATTATTAATATATATATATATATATATATATATATATATATATATATATATATATATATATATATATATATATATATATATATATATATATATATATATATATATATATATATATTAATAATAAAATTATTAATATTATTATTATTTAATAATATTAATATTATCAATAATGTAAATATTAATATTTTCAATAATGTTAATATTAATATAATCAATTAATGTATAATATTAACTTATATTTTGTAATGCATAATTTATATCATTAACTAATATTATTTAATACATGATGGTTAATAAAAACACTAACGATTACTTGTTTCCACATTGGGACACCGGGTTCGATTGTGGCCCGTTTGACGACACATTGAACATTTTCTCTCAAGCTTATCAAAGTTATCCATTTCGGTTGTAATACGTGTGCTTACTGGACGACCTTTCTTGTTCCTCCGCATTCTTGGGTTATGGCAAATTTGATCTCCTTCATAAACAGGCCAATATTCATCGTACGACATCACTGGAAAGCTATTGCTGTAAACCCCAAACAGGTTTGTAATCCTATAAACGTCAGGCAAAATAGCGTAAGCGTCGTGGCGCACGTTCGAACATGCAACGATAACATGTGAGCAAGGGACACGAAATGCTTGAAACTTTCCGCAGTCACACCATCCGTTCAAGAGGTCGACCTTATGATGTCCCATAGGCTTCCCCTCACCATGGTCCATTGTCTCCTTCACACTGAAAACTGAAAACATTGTTAGCGTAGTCAAAAATTCTGACTTGATGTGTGCTGAATTTTGTTGTTTCTTCTTTCATCACCTTGAGGCAGTTGTCTGTAAATGTTTCGCCAGAATTTAACACAGCACTCCACTTTGAACCCCGTTCAGAAAATAAAGATCCCAACCTATAATATGTTGCCCTTACCAATGCTGTAATGGGCAAATGACGTGTGCCTTTAAAGACAGCATTCATTGACTCAACAAGGTTGGTAGTCATGTGACCCCAACGTCGACCCCCGTCAAATGCTCTTGTCCATTTTTCGACTGGAATAGTGTCAATCCACCTTAAAGCATTTGCATTTGCCATGCCAATCTCTGACCGATAGTAATGAAATGTTGGTTGGTTTAAAGCGTACCCTGAATAATTAAAATATCAATCAATACATGTTATTGACAAAATTTAATAAATATTATGAAATATATTGAATAAATATTATGCAAAATATAGTTACACATGTTAATTATTTTTTTTCCGTAGGTTCCTGTCCTTGATTTCTCTCATAAAATTTCGTGCAATGTGTCGGATACAATAAACATGCACTGATGGGGGATCATGCCAACCATTTTCCACATTGTTGTATGCACTTTCAATTGATGCATGTCGGTCTGAAATTAAACATAAACCTGGTTGTGGCGCAACATGCCTCCTTAAGTTTCTTAGAAAAAATCTCCAACCTTCAGCGGTTTCACCTTCCACAAGGGCAAAAGCAACCGGAAATATATTGTTGTTGCCATCTTGTCCCACTGCGATAAGCAGTGTACCCTTGTACTTGCCGTATAACCAGGTTCCGTCAATTTGAAGTATAGGTTTGCAATAGGCAAAACCCCTGATGCATGGTTGGAATGCCCAGAATAGCCGGTGGAAGATGTGTTTCCCTTCAACAATAGTTCCGCCAGCTGTATACATGGGTAAGGTTTCTATTTCCAGCACAGTGCCCGGAACGAATTTTTTAAGTGCTAACAGAAAATGTGGAAGTTCATTGTATGAGCTCTCCCAGTTACCGTAAACCTGTTCAATTGCTTTATTTCTTGCTATCCATGTCTTTCGGTAAGACGGAGTAAAATTGTATTCAGAAACAATTTTACTTATGCAAACACTAACCTTAATAGAAGGATCATTGTCTACAAAAGGCATTAATTTCTGAGACATTAACTGTGAGGTTAGTTTTTGATGATCCTGATTAAACAAAGTTGTTGAGCAACTATGAGGTGGGTTCATAATGCCTATCTCCCACAAGTCACTTCTTTTACGGTAGGACGCCAATAGACGAAACTTGCAGGAATCATTCTTGCAACAAATTATGTATCTCTTCTTGTCAGAATTTGTCACTTTATAATCCACACAATGTTTCATGTGGTATTGCTTAATAGCAGCAACACAGTCAGCTTTATTTTTAAATTGGTTACCGACTTCTATGTCACCCTCCATTGGAATATGAGGAGTCCGTGGCCAATCAAACGATGTTGTTTCTACATTTAATGGCAGGGTTGTCATATGTGCCGGTGGGGTGAATACATTCTCAACTGGAATGTATTGTTCATCTTGACTTCGTTGACAATGCTCCCTTCCTCAAACAAAGTAGAAAATAAATCATCAACCTGTGCCTCGTTTTCTTCTTCGTCGTCTTCTTCTTCGACTGCTTCGTGTGGAATTATGGACAGATTGATGACCTGAGAATTTTGAGTTTCTTCACATTGTGCAAATGTTACATATAATTCAATATGTTGAAACCCAAAACGTTCATGATTCGAGAACATCGTTTCAACATCGTCGTCGTCACGAACCTTTAGTGGAACAAATTTAAAGCGATTGTCCCCAAAATGGACAATATTTTTGTACGTAATCTGTGACACTGATCCAGCGTTCACCTTCATCTGTAACCTTTCTTTAAAATGTTGGAATGACGATCTTTTATTAACACTGAAACGACTTACGTCAGTGTTTTCAAAGATCAAACCGACTTCATCTGATACAACAACACTCCCATTGAAATAAGCATTAATAATGTATTGGTGGCTAGAAGACATTATGTAAGATAGTATTAGAAATGAGTGGATTATTTGAAGAAATAATTGAGTGGAATGTTTGAAGCAAGATAGTTTCAAAATAAATATAGAAGATAGTAGTAGTAGAAATTGGGTGGAATAAATATAGAAGATAGTAGTAGTAGAAATTGAGTGGAATAAATATAGAAGATAGTAGTAGTAGAAATTGAGTGGAATTAATAAAGAAGATAGTAGTAGTAGAAATTGAGTGAAATGTTTAAAGAAGATAGTACTTAATACGTCCACCATGCATGCAACGGAAAAAGCTGGTCAAAGGTATGTTAAATGCTTCCGCCCATTAATGATGCGGTTGTCAGGAAATTAAAGGCTGCCACCCATTGAGAATGAGGCTTATCAGACCAAAATAAATGCTGCCGCCCATTGAA